CTCTCGTCTTCCAGGAAGAAAATAGTGATGTGTTGTCTCTGTGCAGTCTCATATCAGTCATAGGTCAGTGGTTCTCAATCTTGTTAGACTCAAGACACCCCTTGGAAAATGCCAGCTCTTAGTTTTTACTTATTTTTTTACTACAGAAAAATAATAGAGCAATTCTTCTATTGCAAAGAACTCAGACTGCAGTTCTTCAAACCTTTTTTGACACTATGGATTCCTACTGGAAATCTCTGGGGTTTTGTGAATCATGTTTGTATACCTGATTGTGCTAACATTGCTTGGCATCCTTGAAAGATCTCAAGGCACCCCGAGATACCATGGTATCTTACTTGAGGAACACTGGTCTAGGTTGTTACTATCTTGGTCTGTTTTATTTTTCCCTTTCTATAATGACCACTGTAGCACTTGTGTTTCAAAGATTTCAACTTTGTTCAGCTAAACAAAGGGAAACTACTTCCCACACATCACATCTGTTGTACAGAATGCAGGATTGCAGAATTTTAAATGGTTAGATCAACCGGAGAGGTAGATAATTTCATGGCCAGCTTTGGAAGCTTGGCTAACGATTACTGGTTTTGTGCTAACGATTACTGTTTCAGTGTGTAAGCTGATTGTTAGGGATTCAGTATTCCTTTTTCCCTGGTGTGAGCATGCTTTTTAGGGGAACGAATGCTGTATTGTTTGTTTTCGTTGGAGTACCAAGTAACACATGTTTCTAGGACTGAAATTCCGAAATTGTTATCCTAAGCAAGTTTATGGGACTTAACTCCTGCTTGAATCCTCATTCTTTAGCAAATTTTGTCATATTTCGGAGTGCTTTTTGACTATTTATAGTTCTTGGTTTTTAAGAAAATGCAGTTACTGACTTCTTTGGAGTAGGGAGACCTAAGAATTGCACACTAAATAAGCTAGAGGGAGAAGGAGGTAGTCTTGGTAACTTGGTTGCTTCTGGCATAGGGCTTGCATGACCGAATGAAAAGTGCAGAGAACTTTAGAATTTAACGCTAGTGAGTTAATGCTGAAGATTTTTGTCAAAATCTTCAGTGGTACGTGGATTATGGCATAGCTTCAGAAATATTACATGTTTATCCTGCTGCAAAGTATGCGTATATATACATATAACATTTTGTGTGTTTATATGTAATAAGGGTTTCTAATACGGACTGCTTATGAAGCCCTCATGCATTTTTGCCTGTAGACCATTACAGCTAAAACCTGTATCCCTTTTTTACTCTTCTTCATTTGAGCTGCATCTCTAGATTCCCTTCTCCACAACTGAACATTACTGAATGGTGGCTCTAGCTTTCTTGGGGAAGTAGAAACAGGGTTACTCACTGAGTCGCCATTTTTCCTTCTTAAATACACTTCGTTAGGATATGTATTGCTCCTTTTTTGGCACAACTGTTGTAGGAGCTTTTTTCCCCCCTCCTTCTCCCCTCCCTCCTCCCAACTATCTGGTCACTGAAGACATTAAGACTAAAGGTCAAAGATGAGACCAGTTCTTTTTAATTGTGTAAGGATGTGACATCATACAATGAGGGGCAGGGCTAGCTAACCTCTCTTGGCATCTCCAGGAAACTACCCAGCTCAGCTGGGGGAGCTGCACACTGAAAAGGAAACAGTTACTACTCCACGGTGAGTAACCCTGTTTTCTCCTTGTTTCACCTTCCAACTGTTTTCTTTGACTTTTGACTTGGATTCTTGTATAGATAGTAAAGATAAAATAGTTGTTCTGGCCCATGATCAAAGCCTAAATATGGAAAGATACCTGCTTGCAATTGGGAAAAAGATTCTGTTCAGTTGGTGGAATCAGAAGGAAGTGAGCTGACATTTTGTTGTTGAAACCTGTAACTTAAACCTAGAATGTGGAATGCGTCTGAAGGGGCAAGGTAAAATGTCTATGAACTTGGGGAGAAAAAAATTAGTTATAAAAAGGATTCGGGTTGGTAGCATAGAGAGTAAATTAATGAATTCCTCATATTAGCTGCTGCTGGGTTTTTTTGCATTAAGATGCTTTAGCTGTAAGTTAAGATGTACTTTCAGTAAATTATTTTTGGCAGTTCCTCTCTGGCTTTAAATAGGTACTGAAATGCAGTATTATGCAGGATGATGGTTAGTTTCTGTTATGTGGTTTGACCTGATTTTTGTATAACATGAATTATTGTCTCTTTCTAGTTAAAAAAAAAAAAAAGAGAGAGAGCGAGAGAACAGGATCTTTCATTCAGCGTCTGCTTCATAGATATTGAAAATAGCACGTGCCTTTTCAAGTGTAGAAAAAATTGCTAGTCAGTAGCTTCAGTAGCTCAATAGCTAAGATCTAGTGCTATATATTACCAGTGAGGAGAACCTAATTAGTAGGACCAGGTTGTTACCTTTATTAGTTCTGAATATGATACCTTGCACCATGGGTAGTCCCATTAAGGTCAGTGGGTCAGTTTATGGATTAAGGTGATGCATACATTTAAAGATATGGACATTTTAAGCTTTTGATTTCTAGATATTACCCGAGTTTAAATTGTCACTTAGTCCTTGCTCCAGAGCCTGAAGTGTGGCATAGATAGTCTTGACATTAGAAAATGTTTGTCTTCTTGGCCATATTCTGCAGCAGTATCCATAGGTAGAAACGGGGTTGGTTGGTCTGCTGGAGGCCTCATAATTTTCACTCCTGTCTGAGAGTGAAAACAAGAAAATATAAAAAGGAAATATTCCTAGTTCAGGAAAACTTCTAGGTTTGTATAATCTTGTTCTAGTGTTTGTTTTCTCTCATGAGTAAAAGAGCTGTTTGTGGTCTTATGTTTGTCCTTATTGGCATATAAATTAACTTTTAATATTAGGCTTCTGTTACTTGGAACCAATTTTTGTTCCTTGTAAGCTCATTTAGCAGTTGCCATAACATACTCTCCTGAAGGAAGTCAGTTGTCTCGCATCTTTCTTTAGCAGCTTTTCCTGTTAGCTTGGTGGGTAAGAGGAGACTTTTAGGAAGCACTCTGATTCAGTTGAGAGAAGGAATCTCCTTTTACTTCAGTATTATAGATAGATTCTGAATTGGTATGTGTTTTTCTCCAAGAGTAGACTTGGGGTTTTTAGACGTTTCTATGCTGTTTAGAAAAATGCTGGCTGTATAAGAATATCGGCATCTTATAAAATGTTTAACAGCTTTTTTTCCTCCTAAAATAATGCATCTGGTATGGAAAGGTATTTTATTATCAGGCTTCCAACTCAGTGCTAATTGAAATGTAGCAAGGAAGATAAGGCTACTGTCTTTAGAAACGGAAGCTTTCAGTTTAAAGTTGTACTACAGTGCCTTTTTAATTGATGTGGGATTAAAGTTAACGTGTGACTATTTCTAATATATGTATTATATGTTATATGTATTATAATAATATAATACATATATTATTATAATATTATATATTATAATAATAATATAATAATAATAATATAATATAATACATATATTATTATACATATTATTATAATACATAGTATATGTATTATCTATTATATGTATTATTATTATAACAGTATGTTACCTAGCAAGAGCTTATTTTTAAGGTCTTTGGTTTCTCCTGGATTTGTTGATATCCCTAACACTTATCAAAATAAGGATTGTAGCTTCCTGTTCTTTTTTTGGATACCAATGATATGTTACTATAGGAGAAACAACCCTCTCTTTGGGTCTTGGCAGAGCAAACCTTTTAATATACCACCTTAAATTTGGAGAGAGGTAGTTAGCTGCAGTCAGGCAGAAGGCAGGGCAGGATGGCATCTTTATAGGTGAAACCTGTTTTGTTAAATGCTATGAAGTAGGCTGGCACCTATGAAAGTTTGACTCTCTGAACCAATTAGTCTTTAAGTGTTGCCCTGCTCTGCCCTGCTTTCTGCCCTAAATCTGGAGGAATATTTCATTTTGTTTTAGTACTGTGTTAATTGATGCTCTTGTTAAACTATGTGCACTTCTTGGCACATGATCCAACTTCCAACATTAAGAGGCTGATGTTCCTTTTCTTCAGTTTTCTTTCTCTTTTGCTTTACTTTCACCCTTAATACATTCCTCAGTTCTGCAGGAAAACAAGTTGTATTTCCAGTATGGACTACTTGGTGATACTGCTTGCACAACACTTTAGTGTAATAATTATGTAGCTCTTGAGCTTTTTTGAAAAGCATGCTGGTGGCTTTGTCCTTGAGGGATTGAATCCATGTACCTTTGAGCCTGTGAATGTATAGTGTTAGAAACAAAATAAAAAAGATGATGTGAAATGTAGACTAATGGCTCTGCTTTGCCATTAGGTACATCGGCTTGCAATGCCATTATCTCCTGTTGCATTTATGCTGCCATGTGCTTAAATCTACAAGAATGCACAGCTGAAAAACTAAGGAGAGTCAAGTCATAGCTGTAATCTTGGATGAGCATTTCTTTATAAGGGAAAGCATGTTTTGTGTGTATACACATCTTTTTTTTCTTACTTGCATTTTTTTCATGGCATGGTTAGTAGTAATGGCCTTCAGAGCAGGAATAAGGGTTGAGCTTTATGTACTTTTTGTTTTAAGGAAGGACCACAATTCCAGGAGAGAGGAATGTAATTCAATTCTATACTTAATCTTTCAAATAGAGATCAGCTCAGTTCCTTGCCATCCAGCAGTCTAGATACGCTGCAGTAATTACCCAGTGCATAATTCTAGTAGCTGTACTTTGCCTTGTGGCCAGTTTAAGTGAAAATGCAATAAAATAGCAGTAACTTGGGTCTAACTTTTGTTAAATAAAATATATTCAACAATTTAGGCTCAAGGTAGCCTTATCATGCTTCTGTATCTTTTAAATGGACTACTCACAAGGTATTCATAGTTTCAGAATGTTAGCTATCTATCACATATTGTTAGTAAATCAAGCCTTGTTAGGCCTCATCATCTAAGTTTGTTAATGCAAGTTAGTAAAAATCATTTGGTACTCCGCTTCACAACTGTGTAACAAAGTATGTTCTCTCTTCATGCAGGCTCCCAAGTCTGGTGTCTTTGGAAGAGACAAAACTTTATACTGGTGTTGACTATGGTAGGTCGATCCTATTTCTATTAAATTGGGTCATGAGAGAATTAATTTCATCCTCTTATTGTTGCTGATGCTGTAAAGCATATCCTGCTTCGGTGTGTAAGTGTGGTATGAATACTGGTCACTAGCAGTTTGGAGTGGTGATTAGGCCTCTGTGTGTTTCTGGCTAGAGGAGGAGTTGGGAAGTTTATGGGCCTGTAGCAATTAAGAGTATACCAGGCCCAGAGAATAGTCTGAGTGCTGCACAAAAAAGTGGAAGGAAACATCTAGGTGACCAGTCAAAAATAAGATGTCCTGGTGGGAGCTAAGAGCTTACCTAATATCTGACAGTTTCAAAAAACAAAATGATCTAGTACTGAGGTTGTCAAACACATGTACCCTGAGGATACTTGAGATGGACCTAGGGGGTATGTGTGGATGGGTGGGGACAGAGCACTGCTACGCAGCATGCTGTGCAGCCATAAAGGTGCTGCCTGCCCGGCCGGATGCAGGAGGCGGGGAAAGCCCA